CAGATAGCATCGTTACTTGCTAATTGAAAGTAGATACCCCAGTATCTTTAACTAGGCAGACGGCAAGATTTCCGCTTGTTGCCAGCGGAATATCTTGATCGAGATTCACATATTCAGTGAGGGGGAGGGGGAGTGCATTTGACTCCGTAATCTTTGCTTAATAACATAACGATGTACGCAGGAAGTTTCGTTCTCAATCTGGACATTTGAGGATAGTAATTTGAATTCCGGTACCATTATGGTTCGTGTCGACGCAGTCGAACTTGCACCACTTGTCCCATTTGAAGACGTATAAAACACACACAAAATGCGTCTTTGGGTCTCAGTGACGATGCGATTACATCAGCCGTCATATGCTCATCTTAATATGCTATGAATTTGTCCTTTTCTTATGCCACTTATTGAAATATACCCGGGTCATTTAAGACGAGCCCCATTTTCTCCAAACCCGTAGTTCTTATCCTTAAAGGTAGCGACTCCATCAGTTTAGTCAGGTATATCCACAGCTTATTACGGTTTCTCCAGTTCTAAGGAAATCCGTACACCTTTTTATAGGGATTTTAGGGGGTCTGGTGGGAGGTAGGATTTGAGTATGGGCGTATTCTATTACATTTTGCAGGTAAATGGAAAGAGGCAGGTTGTCCCACAATCCTCTTGCACACACCACGACAGATAACTCGGTTTAAGTTGTCTACTACATGAGGACAAGCTTGAAATATTGCAACCGAATTCTCCATTGCCAATAACCTCATATTTCTTTTATGTGTCAGTTTTTACGGGGTTGGTTTCTCATGTGACATAAAGTTGACGATCCTTCAATAAGCTTTTGGCTTTATAAACGTAGTTTGTCCTGTCCTGTTCGACAGCTGAACGTGCCAGGATAACGGGTCTTTGTTGACCCTGAGTTCCCTTAGTGCATCGTGTTCGACCTTAGGTAGCACTTCGCGTAGCCAATGAGTCATGCAGGAGGACCACAGTTTGCGTCAGCCTGGGCACAGACCGACGACCCACGATGGGCGAATGTTTACCACCTTCGAGCCGATGGAAGCACGTTGCGCCCAAACAGAGTGCCGATAAAGGGGAGTAGGCGAATTCCAGAAAGCAGCTCAGAAGAAGGCGCGATCGCTGGGACAAGAGATTTATCAGCCTAACGTCTCGGACTCTCACTAGCACCCGTCACAAGGGATAGTCACAGAAAAGGGTTGTCGAGACAGTATTTATAGGACGCATTTGCTCGACAACCACATGCGTACAATGCTTAGCAACACTCACGTTCATTGTTGGGGATCGTATTTGTTGCGATAATTGCTTGTCTGTCCGTACCTGAGCCGTTAATTGCCGTGACTTTCTCATCGTTGTTAATTTTTTACTTGACGACAACTCGGCAGTTTGACTTACTGTCACCGGAACTGTTGATCGTGCCAGCCCTGCCCTGGTGATTAGTTATTTGGCCCATGCAAACTCGCAGAACAGAATAAGGAGGCGGAAGGTCATTGCGCTCGTTAACTGAATGCGGGCCGGTGAAGCATGACTCAGGCAGTTCACATCTCACGTGGTTATCGATTTCTGTGGGAATATTGGCCTCGTCAAACTAGAGTCACAATTTGAGAGCTAGCGTCATCCCATCCCACCGCTGCTGCATTTTCGGCCATTCGAGTTCGGAGTAATCCCTTGGTTCCTTTGACGAATTTGTTTTGACCACAACTGTGCCAGATCCGGTAAACGACTCCGTGCGTTGCCTGCCGTGACATTAGGTCTTAGTATACCATGACTTGGTGTCTGATGGCTGCCTCCGTTTTGTGTGCATCTCCAACTCCGGGCGGTGTGAGAAGGTGGCTGAAAGTTTTTACTTATTTGGTAGCAAATAACGTAGTCTTTACCTTTCATACTCGAAGAAAGAGTATACTTAAGCTTTGATAAAATTTCCCAATCCCCGAACAATTTTGAGAATGATCAGCTGTTGTATTGACGTTTGGCGATTTCAGTCTACAAGATGCATGCCTTCCGTGTAAGTAAAATCACATATTCCTTTACGTGACACTGACAAATTTCTTCTGGTCACCAAGGTTCTGCTGCACGGGCGTCCCTAAGTCAGAAAGCATGTTTTTCTTTAGTTTTTTTGTTTTGGATATATGCTCACCCTCCACAAGTTTCATCCTCTTGTCTCGCATTCTTCGCGGTAATTGCGTTCTTGTCACGATTTGCTGGCCGTTTGCTGAAAACGTACATAGAGCGGGCGCAGATTCTAGACGCGAAGGACATCTCATTCCACATATCACCTAAAGAAGCGCTGGCGTGGTCGTACTATTATAGTTAAATTGCTGATATTCTGTAAACAGTGGGATGAGAGAATTGGTATATTTTCTATTTGGAGGTTGTAATGAATTCTTCGGATTTGAGGTGAGGAATTAAAATGAGTACTTAAAATTTAGCGAGCGAAAAAAGATACTATAAGTTTTAGAAAATGCATGAAGTTTATCCAGAAGTTTCTCAGCGGTCTGCAGATTTTGAAGGACCTGAGTAACTTCAGGTCATGGAGGATTTGAACAGTTGTTTTCGTAGGCTGCAGATAAACGCGAGTCGGCAGAGAAGTCAGTTGAACTGTGCTGAAAATCAAATTGTGCTTGACTCGGTTTCCTGACGACTTTCCCCACCTGAAAAAAATCTAAAAATGCACAAAGTAATTCTGTACGTACAGTTTCATTGGCAATATTCGAAAGAAAAACTGCGACGTTGTAGCCAAACCAGTGAAGTCCCAGTTGGAGAACAGTTAACCGCTGATAGCTTCAATGATTACCTGTCCAAAACGTTTATTGAAGACTCGACCACTCCGCTTCCGACCATCCAGTCATTGACCGGGGCAGTTCTAGAAACTATAAGTTTCACTCTTTGGGATGTGACTGTTGCGATTCGGCGTTTTCGTCAATCTTATAGTCCAGGCCCTGATGGTGTCCCAGTAAGCATTTTAAAAGCCGATGCAAACACGATCTTCCCATCCCTCTTATGCAAGATATTTAATCTTGCTCTTGAAAGTGAAACTTATCCTACCTTGTGGATGGAATCACACATTTTGGCCATTCCTAAGCACGGCAAATCTACATCATTTGATGACTTTCGGCCAATTAACACCCTCCCTGCGGTTTCGAAGATCTTAGAGACATTGATCAAGGATAAGATGATGTGTCACTTAACAGCGAACAATTTACTGAGTGTTGCTCAGCATGGATTCCTCAAAGCTCGATCTTGTGACACCTGTCAACTCTCTTTCTTTGACTATGTTCTCCAATCTAGGGACCATGGTTTTGCTCTTTACACAGTATATTTCGATTTCACTAAGGCTTTTGACCGTGTTGACCATGCTCTTCTCCTCTTGAAATTGTCCTCTTTCGGAATAGGTAGCAAACTTTTGAATTTTATCTCCTCTTATTTGGGCACTCGCACACAACGAGTTAAGATTTCCAATACCATCTCCAAGCCCACACGTGTGAGGAGTGGAGTCATTCAGGGTAGTGTACTCGGCCCGCTTTTATTTTGCCTTTTCGTTAATGATGTACCCGATTTATTTCAGAATGGTAAGCCTTTCATGTATGCCGATGATCTTAAAGTTGCATATCGATATAAGCCGGCAGATCATGACATCGTGCTTGAGCTCCTAAAGAGCGATCTACAGGCTTTCGCCCAGTGGTGCCGCACATGGCGCCTTTCTATTTCTTGGCATAAGTGCTCAGTCATGGTGGTTGGCGACGACCGCCAACCTCAACTAAGTATTGAAGGTCACGCAATAAATGTGCCAGGGGTAATAAAGGATTTGGGCGTATCATACTCCAAGAGTCTCAATCTCTCGGAGCACTGTGCCTTGATAGTCTCCAAAGCACGTAGAACGACCGGGTTTATCCTCCGAAATTTTAAAACTAGGGACAGTAGAATGCGCCTTTTCAACATGTACGTTAGACCTGGTCTGGAATACTGTTCGTTTTCATTTAGCCTCATGCGTGCTACTGAGCGGAAGAAAATAGAATCCGTTCAACACTTTTTTACCAAGAGAATTTTTACCCCGGAACACCGACATTTGTCTTACCAAGAACGTTGCCGGCTTACAGGCCTCGATCCTTTATGGTTCCGTAGATTACAAAAGGGACTATTTTTGCTATTTAAACTCTTATATAATCACACATTTAACCCGCTCACCTCCTTAAGACATCATATCCACCCACGACGTAACAGTCACCGTGAGGTCTTCTTATTTCTGCCTCTGGCACGTACTGTTAAATATCGTCGGTTCTTTTATGTAAATGCAATTGCTATTTGGAATAAACTACCAATGAGTGTGAAAACTCTGCAAAATTATCCTTTATTTAAGAGAACTATTACTCGATTTTTGCATTGAGAAAAGCTTCCTCAAATTTTGGGTGCTGAATCTACTGATCGACTGTACCGTAGCGATGGCGTTTGTGGTCTCTGAACACTATGGCCGGTCTCACCAGCTGTTCCTCAACGCCTCTACTTTGACTATCCCCAACTTCATGAAAGGAATTGACGTCCGATAATCTCCGATACCGTGCAACCTCCCCCCTTCTTGACGGTCGATATTCTACCACCGCCGACAGTTTTATTCTCCTGAGTCCTCCAAACCACAAAAACCACCATCAACTATATTTTTATGCCTTAAGCTCAGGAGTTTTTTTTCACTGCTGGTCGGATTTGTGTTTAATCACTTCCCTTGACAATGCCTGTGAACTGGCATTAAATTAAAATTTATTTATTTATTTATTTATTTAGAATAATCCCGTTGTGCTTGGTCGGGCTTTCTTGCCCAAATTAAGATTCGCGAGTCCACCACACGACTTATTCGCCACATCCTGTCCACTGCCTCTCCCGTGTTTTCTCGTCTCCGCCGTCTCCGGCCTGCACGTCTTACTGTCGCCAAGACCGAGTTCGAGCACATGCTTTTGATGGGCATCATTCATTTATCTGAAAGTCCATGATCCTCACTCCTTCTTATGGTCCCGAAGGCCGCCATTGGTGACTGGCGCCCCTGCAGCGATTACAGAGCCCTGAACCACGTTACCGAACCGGACTGCTACCCTGTCCTGAAACTTAAGGATTTCGTCGGCATCCTATTTGGCATATCTGTGTTTTCGAAGATCGAACTGGTCTGCGCCTACCACCAAATGCCTATCGCTCAGAATGACGTTTCGAAGACTACCGTTATCACTCCCTTTGGCCTTTTTGAGTTCCTGAGCAGACCACTTGGACTCCTCAACGTCTCTCGGAACTCCTAGATGTTCGTAGGCAGACTGCTTTGCGGCCTACCACTTGTCTACGCATATATCAATGACCTGTTGATTGCTAACTCAACCGTCGAAGAATATGTGGATCGTCTTGCAACGTAGTTCGATCGCGTTGTTATCTACCCCTCCAAGTGCGTCTTCGGTGTCCTCTCCCCAGAATTTCTCAGGCATCTGGTCTACTCCAACAGCATCTATTCTCTTCCGTTGAACATCGCCGCAATACGTGATTTCCCGCCTCCCTCTTCCGAACGTCCGCGGCAGCGATTTATAGGCATGGTGAATTTATAGCGCCGGTTTCCCCCGTACTATGCCGACACCATCCTGCCGCTAGAGAGTCTCCACTCGTGCTCGTGTTAACGGATCACAAGTCCCTTCCCCTAGCTCTGAAGTCCACTTCCGACAAGCTCAACGCCCCAGAAATTCGTCAAATGGACCACATTCCGCAATTTACTTTAGTCATCCGTCACATCGACGGGCCACGCAATGAGGTGGATGGCGCATTCTCCAGGCCCTCCATCGCTCATCTCCAGCTTTTACCCAGGATCGATCTTGCTGAGAGGGATGCCGAGCAATGCTGTCTTGGCTCTTCCTGTGACGAGGACGTTTCCGGACTCCAACTTCAGGACCTGCCACTGAATACTGGAAACGGTGCCACACTCTGTGGTGTCTCCACCTCCTCCCACAGGCTTTTGTTCCGCCATCCCTCCGCCGCAAATTCTTCTCCCCGCACAACCTATCCCACCTTGTGATTTAAGCTACCGACAAGCTGGTTTCCAACCGTTTCGTCAGTCTACTGTTGCCCTCTTGTTATGGCAACCACCTCGATCGCACTACAGAGCACGCATCTGAATGCGAAGACATAAACCCGTGGGTAGAAAGGAAAGGAAAACGCCATGACAGGATTCTGAAGTCACAGCCAGCCCTGATGGGTTGCTCAGGACAGTCGGTAGACAGTAAATGTGTGCGTCCAAGCGATGACTCCGTAAATCGTCCTCGCCCACATGTAGCGCAGTCACCGGAAATACAGAGTAAGGAGGACCATGCTCGCCAGCAGTGTCTGGTTATTCAGGGTTTGTCAGAATCGAATGCAGTCAGACCTGAAGACAGTGTCTCAGATGACCTTGCTTCTTTTCATGGTCTGCTAAATCAGTTACTCCCGGCAGACTTGGAAATAAAGGTTCTGAAAACATTCCGGATGGGAAAAAGGAGTGAAGACAGGACAGTAGCACAACCACCTCGCCCTCTGAACATTATGCTGAAGAACAAAGAACAAATCAAGTTTATCCTCTCTAAAAAAACCGATCTCAGAAACACACACAAACAGGTTTTTTCAACCGGACTATTCACCAGCGGAACGGTTGAAACGCGGGGAACTTGTCTTGGAGTTAAAATCAAGACTGAAGGATGGCGAACACAATCTGGCTATCTTCAAGGGAAGGTTGTTCGGGAATATATGCCGTTTCAGTGGAACCAGCCTGTAATACTACGAACGACGACAGTTACTCAGCCAAAACAGACACCTTCGTTGAACCGCCTGATCAAGGCGTCAAAACAAGTGAGCCCGTAGCGTCCAGTGATCTGACTGAAACAAGGCATATAAATGGAACCAATCAGGTAACGGAAGAGCCTAGAGAACACGACTTCCGCGATAACGAATTAATGCTCACAGCAGTAACAAATGCAACGGGAAATTGGGCTGATGCAAAACTGAGGTGCTTGTACACGAATGCCCAAAGCATCATATCGAAACTAGACGAATAAAAACTTTACCTTGCCGAGCTGTCTCCAGATGTTTTGGAAGTAACTGAGACCTGGCTGTCCGGGAATGTTAGCGATAACGAAGTAGCCTTGCCTGGATACCAAATTTATCGGAGGGACAGGGAACATCGTCAGGGTGGTGGTATCCTTGTGTATGTGAATGAAGGTCTGGCAGTGTCGGATAACACCAGAAAGTTTGCGTGCAGTACGGAAGCAATCTGGTTGACCATCAAGGCTGCCGGTTCCCCGTGTCTCGATGTCCTCACTGTCTACCGACCACCTAGGACAGACCAGATCGCCGACACTCATCTATTGGAGCAGTTGGAGAAATTTTCCAGTCGACCTAACATCATGATCATGGACGACTTAAACGCACCAGGAACAAATCGGAATACCCTGCAAGCGTCGGGTCCAAAATCGGCATTCGATTACCGCCTGTTGAGCAAAACCTTAAATACGTGCCTCACACAACATGTAATGTTCCCAACGAGAACACGTGAAGGACAATGGGCAAACTGTCTGGATCTGGTCTTTACGAAAACACCAGACAGCATAGACGAGATCACCTCCATGCCACCCCTTGGCCGAAGTGACCACGTAGTGCTTATGTGGGATTATTCGTTATTCTCCATTTCACATACTCCAGACCACAAAAGACGTAATGTTTGGCGGGGCGACTTCAATCAGATGAGGGCAGACTTATGGGGTCTTGACTGCGGCTCATTGTTTACGGGAACAGCCAACGATGACTAGGAGCTGTTCATGAATGTCCTTCTGCAGCTCATCAACAACAACTGCCCGCTGACTAGTGCAAGACTGAACAAACGCCCTGGGTGGCTCTATAGCAAACTTAAGAAAGAAATCGTGGAGAAAATACTGCGTCACTAGACAAGCTGAATGCTTCAATATCTACAAGACACAGAGGAACAAACTGAGGAAGCTGATAATGAAGACGCGGTGGGAATTCGAGAAGAACTTGCTACAACAAGCAACGCAGGACCCAAAATTGCTCTACAGCTACCTCCGACGAAGTACAAGGAACAGGCATCAAATCCCCTTGATTAAGACTACTGATGGCGTTGAGATCGCTGATAGTAGCGATAAAGCTGCCTATTTTTCACACCAGGACCAGACGAGATTCCATCCAAGCTTCTCAAGGAACTTGCCAGTGAGCTTTCTGTGCCTTTGTCGATGCTCTTTCAAACGTCATTTGATACTGGAACACTTCCTATGGATTGGGAGCTGGCGCATATTACTCCGCTACACGAAGGAGGTAACAGGGCAGCGACGACAAATTACCGGCCCATAAGCTTGACATGCATTCTCTGCAAAGTTATGGAAAGGATCAAAAAGAGTGAACTGATGCAATTTCTGGAAGTTAACGGCCTCCTATCGAACTGCCAACATGGGTTCTGGAAAGGAAGATCCTGCACGACAAACATGCTGCAATCTCTCCAGAGCTGGACCCGAGCTCTCGACGACAGGCACGCGGTCCACAGAGCCTTCATCGACTCTCAGAAGGCGTTCGACACTGTGCCACACCAAAGGCTCTTACATAAGCTGAAACAACAACACAGCCAGATCCGCCAGCACAAGAGGCTACTTTCTGGGCGATGCAGCCCTACAAGAGGCCGAAGCCCAAAGGGACCTCGTTACCTAAATCCATCCGCCCACTGTTCGAGGGTGGCAAAAAGCGCAATGTCCGTACTGTACGCCATCAAGCGTGCGTTTATGGACTTTGACGAAGACGCTTTCTCTAAGACATTCGGAACATTCATCCGGCCGCATTTGGAGTACGGCATACAAGCTTGGAGGCTGTGGGCTCTTGAGGATTAAAACTGCCTCGAAAGAGTCCAGAGGAGAGCCACGAAGATGGTTAGGGGTCAAAGCTCCTTTCCTTACGCAACCCGTCTAGTAAATCTGAACCACTATCCTTTGAGTTACAGGCAACTTCGCGGGGATCTCTTGCAAGCCTTCGGCATTATAAAGGGGTTGGATTGCAGTCTGGCCTTCGAGGACTTTTTTGAATTTGCTACCACAACCAACCTCCGAGGTCACCTGTTAAAACTGCGCACTCAGCAGGCACGGCTGGATGTTCGGAAGTCCTACTTGTCGGTTCGGGTGGTCAAACCACGGAGTGAGCTGCCCGCAGATGTTTCGATGTCACCATCTTTACAAAGTGTTAAGAAGAATCTGGACATATTTATGTTCCGAAATGACCAAGAGCGGTGAAATGTCGAGCTCACCCCCTGTAACCCGTTCTCATTTTGCCCTACAATTATGGGCGTGCTTGAACTATTTCACCCCAGAACATTTATATGTATACCACACATTTTTTACGTTGCAAATAGGGTACTCGAAGGCTTAGACCTATTTCCCTCAATAAATTGAACTGGACTGAACCTCCAGTACTCCAGCCGCAGCACACCCTAACTCTTCTCCTGTACCCTCTGTATATATTACCCGTAGTGGACGCCGCGTTCATTTTCCTGATCGTTTGACTACTCCTGTTTTCTGAGCGTTAACGAATTCCTTTGGGGAGTCCTGTGTCTGACCTAACCCTTGACATCCATCGTTTAATCATGCTCTCCTTTGTCCACCCAGGTTCCCTGTCGATTCGCTGCTGGGGCAGCGCGGATTTTGTCTCTATCTTCAAGAGAACTCGAAGTTAATCGACACAGACCATTCTCTGATGGACTGGCGGGCGTTAATTGGGACAGGGTAACAGACACACACACGCACTGAGGGTCACTCATCTTAAAGACTGACACACACAACTTGTCTGGGGAGACAGCTTGTGGCGAATGATTTCAGAACTTCTTGTACGGTCTTACTCGTCACAAGAGGTTGTCCACGCCAATCCGTCTTCCCCGAACTCTGATTTTGGAATCTCTGAGTTTACTCAGGTGGTAATCACACACTCATATCTTCTACCCAGCATATATCATTAACCATTCGCAGTCGAGGCGGTTGACCATCTGTCCGAGTACAGATGATTGAAGATCTTTGCACCGTGTTCAACGCCTCACTTCTGGACGACCCATTTTTCATATGAATGCATGCCGTGTAGAATTACTCCCGTTGGCCTCATCGTACTTCTTGTCAGTCGGAACGACTATCGGGGCCTGATAGTCGCGAGCATCACAGCGTCATGGAGGTACAGACCAGAACTGTATAGGGGATGCTACAAACGCGGAATGGCTAGTCCGTGCAGTCACGCCTTTTGTGCCACT